GATAAACCCACTGACACAAACACACAAAGATGTGCTCAGGGGCAGTTACATGAGGGTGATGGCTTTAGAGGCAGTTAAGCCAGAGAGGAATACAGTCCTACCTGAGGGGGGAGTGTTCAGGGGCAGCAGGGAGAAGTTCCCAGTGAACTGGTGCACGAGCTGATTCTGCCGGATGAAGAGGGCGCTCTCGGTGGCGATGGCGTCCTGGATCGTGGAGGAGAACTCCGCCTGCGGACACCCTAGGGAGCCCACCCAGCAGCTCTCCATACTGAGCTGGTCAGCACCGACAGTCAACACACAGAGGTCATTATACTGTATATGTACACAGACAGCAATCACCACATGAACACAGGCATGTTCCTCCACACAGACACAGCCCTTAGGCTAAAGCAGGGATTATTAACCCTGATCCCGGAGAGCCCCAGTCCAAGGGGTTTTGCAGGTCACCATTAAATCACCAATTTCTAAAGATATGGAATAATTCCATTGTGAACAATTGCATTTGTTAAAATAAATAAAATAGAGATCATTTAGATGGAAAATCTCAGTACTCTTTAGCCCTAAATGATCAGAGATCTCTGAACTGAAAAGATTCCTTACTCGATTCTTCAGGTGATGTCAAAGCAGGTGACCTAAAGGCCAAGTGGGCTGGGGGTCACCAGGTCCAGCTCTGGAGATCCCAGGACTTTATACACTACAATGTCACATAGTCTTTATTCTGGATATAAAGTACAGACAGCAAATATGTAAAGGAACAAATTAAGGTTTATTTCATGCTGAAAAGAGAAGAAAAGAAAAACACAACATTTTGGCTGTGCTGTCACCTAGGGAAATGAAAGAAGGCTCCACAGCCAAAACGTGTTTCTTTTCTTCTCTTTTCAGCACAGGAATAAACCTTTATTTGTTCCTTTGCAGCCAACACATGCTGACGCAGCTCCCTACTTGAACTATATACAGTGTAAACACACTGTCCTTGTGCAGCCAGGACAGCCCACAGGGCCTGTGCAGATGCTTATAACAGTTAACTGCAATTCACCGAGTAA